CTGTGAGCCTGTGAGCAATTCCAGACAGGCAGAACACTGAGATTCTTTTTTAGTTCTTTCTGCCTGATGACATTAGTTAATGCTTCTTAGTGCTGGTATGTACTGTTTCACAATCGGAGGGATAAGTTTCGAAAGTGAAGTGGTTGTAAAGTCTTTCAGTATACTTCTATTTTTCTGCTGCAAGTGTAAAACAAAAATACAAGGCATAAGGCAGACCGTATGATGAGGCACCAGCCATAAGAATTATCTTAGTTTGAGGAGAAAGATATTAAAATGCTTACTTTATAACTGTTCTGCAAAGTATCTGCTTTGAGTGAACTCCTTGGAAACATATCTCATAGTGATAAGGCATCTGGGTGGGGTCCACGTGGCAATTGTAGTGAAAAAAAAAGCCCTCCCATTCTGAAAGAGATGATAAAACCAGAGTTCACTTCAACACATGCACAAAGGTGAAAGCTAGCTGACTGCTGAACACTATATATACTGTAGGTGACAACTCCAGCCAAAGCAGTGCTACGAAATGCAGGTTAATCACTGGGAAGGAGAACTGAATTACTCCCAAACAAAATAGTTGTCATCTTTTTCTTCTTCAGTAAAGAGGAAGGAAGCCTTTAAGCATTTCATAGCTGCAGAGATTATCTGAATTCAAATCCCAGCTTTGATCAATCATTCGTTGGGATTGGCAGAAATTTGGAGCAGAGGAAGAAATGTTCCTTGCCCTGACTTGCGGTCTACACTTGCAGGTTCTCCTTTCAGGAAGGAGGACTAACCAGACAATATGCCAAATGTGTGAAATGGAGGAAGCCTCCCACATTTAAAACAAAAAAATGAGCCAGAAATATGGAATGATCTGCTCTTGTTTCCTCTTGTAAAGCTAATTCCTTGAAAGCTACGTTCACTTAAAGTGACTGAGCTCGATTCACTGAGCACTGGTATCTTTGGATCAGGCCCAAGATTTCTGCTGTGCAGCAGAGGATGAGTAAGATGCAAGACCTCTGTCTCCAACATACAACACGAGTTTGCCTACGAATACTATTTCAAGTGGGGTGAGGGGGGCTCAGCACCTCTGAAAATTAGGAAGAAAAAGAAAATAATGATTATAGCAGAAATTATCAATAGTATCAGTCACCCCAACAGTTATGCATGAGGGACAAAATTCCAAATAAGGCCTTCAAATTTTCAGTATCCTTCCTGTTCCTTCTTTTTCTTCCAAATTAAATGAAGAGAGGGTTTTTAATGGCTTGGACTTGTGTTCAAGATTGCTGCATTTAATAATTTTTTTACAATTATTTAGCTGAAAGTTACTGAAGTTCTTTACCTATATGCAAATCTACGTTTTAACTTC